AGATTTATGGATGGACCGGCAGCATGCACGATACGGTACCAGCGTTTATTAGGCTTTTACTCGCTAATGGGTTCTGTCTGTTTGCTGGCGCACCGCTATACCCGCAACATTACTGTATCTCGTTTATTGGGCCGGTCGTTGTACGCGGACGATTTAACGAGGACTCTATAAAAATGATCGTAGCGGAGTTCGAAAGAACTTTTAAATCGACGATCCGTTTCTACCGCCTTCTCGCTCTGCTCCTCGAGTTCGGCGCCGTTCGTCCGCGCGTCGGACCCAAATGTCTGTTATTCCGAGACGCGTTCGTCCTGCCGACCAATCGTTCGGAAAACGCGATGCGCGTGATCGCGGCGAATCGAAGAATCGCGTGGTCGATCGTCGGGGGTCACGTTACCGTTCGGGTCAGATCGAGTCCCTTCGGCGAACCTCGCCCATTCGCTCTCCCTTCGGAGGACCGAAGCGATAGCCGGCGGTGGTCTTATGCATGGTAGCACGCCACGCCACGCTATGACCACGCCACGTGAGAATCGTGAGGTAAACACGGACACGGAGCCGAAGAAGATACAAGCTTGATCGGTGACCAGGAAGTCGCGGGACATTCGGTGCCAAGTTACAATGTCACGAACACCGTCGGCTATGCTATAGATTCGCGCATGTATAAGTATACGTATACGTATGTCGGCGCCCTCTCTCTCTCTCTCTCTCTCTCTCTCTCTCTCTTTCTCCGGGATTCGAACGATCGCCCTCCTTCTCCCGCGGCCAGCGGCACCTCGCCGATCGCGCAACAATTATTAACCGGCGCGCACCGCAATGAAATTGTACGCGGACGCTTTAATGTTATTGGCCGATGCGAGTAACGGCGCGGCCCGTCGCGGCGAAGAGGGTCCCGGGGCCCGAGCCGGCCGCGGCCGTCGTTCGGGCCCGAAATTTACAACGGTCGGCGTTAATAGCGTTATCCGGCGCGATCGACCACGGTCGTAGGTACACCGTACACGACGCACAGGTTCGGTACACGTCTTCGTGGATCGCGCGATCCATTCCGCTCTAAATCGCGATGTTATCGCGCGACATTACGCGCATCTTCGCACTCGACATCACCGGGCATCAACGACCGGCCGGTCAACGACGGAGCGCTGTAATAAATTCGTCCCGCCTCGCCGCGGCGAGAGAAGCGTTCGCCGCGAGAGTTCCCGTGGCGGCTGCTCGTCGCCGACCGGACCGCTTTCTAACTTCCGTAATCGATGGATCTGCCGGGGAACGATCGCGACGCGATAATACGCCCGGGAACAGGCCGGGGCCCGGCGATTTCAACGCCCGCGAACGGAGCGTCGCCGCCGAGCCGAGCCGAGCCGCGCCGCGCCGCACCGCGCGGAATATTAAGACCCGTTTCGCGCGAAGTTACCTGCATCGCGATACCCGTATACGATAGAGCGTTCAACGCGAGCATACGTATCGCCGTCGGAACGGGTCCAAGCGGGCCGCTCGACGACGCGACGATCTTGTCGCGAGGCAATTAGCTTGTCGTGCCGCCACGGAAGCTCTTCGAACTTATTCCACCGTTGGCCGCTTCGCGTATTTTCCGGGCTTTATATCGTCTCTGCACCGGCGCGAACGCTTTTCCCGTGAAACCGTTCTCCTCGATCTCTCGCTCGGCCGAGCAAATTTATTCGATCGATAATTGTGCGGCTGTCCGCGGAGAACGAGAACGCGGGGAAACGGAATAGAATCGAGGGACGTTCGCGCGGATCGTAGAGGATCGAGCACAGGACCCTCGGTCTCGCCAGGACGCGCGACGCAGAATTCTCCGCGTCACCGCTGACAAAGTGGTATGTTCAAGTTTTTACCCGCCTCCCTGTCGAGGAAGCGCCCCGTCCCGGATGATCGACGCGATGCTCGTGCGCCGATGAAACCAGAAGTCCTTGATCCGTGGGCGATGCAAAACGATCGTCGCTATACCCGGAAGAAGGTGCGGTAGGTCAGCGTTCCGAAGCCGCCGCGCGCCACGCCGCTCGTTCGACCAGCGCGGCGGAGCCACTTCTTGGAAGCTCTATCGTTCCGGGGACGCTCGTTCGGCGTTTCGTCGCGTTAATCTTTCGGATGCCGCGAAACATCCTCGACCTCCGCTTCCATCGCTTTTTCGATACTCGTGTTCGACGCGTGCGATAATCGCCGCGCTCGAGAGTTAGATTTTTCTCGAATCGCACAAGTAGTCGAGGATCGAACTTCCAAGTATTTTCCGCGTTGCGCGAGCGACGCGAAAAAGAAACGAGGAGAGCCTTTTCTGCGGATGCTCGTGGCACTCGGTCGCGTGCAAAGGCAAAAGAATGGACCCTCGGGTCGTTGTCTCGTGTGTAACCGTTCGAAGCACGGCGATCTTGCTCATCGATGATCGGGAACGACCGGAACGGGTTCAGCCAGAAAGAGCCAGACCGGTGGGCGGTGTTAACGACCGGCTGTTCAAACCAGGAAGATACGATAGGTCAGGAACATGCGGGTCCCCTGATCCGCGAATTACGACTTACGGTCGAGGAACCCATATGCTCCACTTTACCGGGCGGACTCTTGTCCGTGTCTATATGGTCTATGCGCTCGGCTACTCGTTGCTCGTCTCGTCTCGATGCCAACGTCTCCTCGACTACGGATCCGCTTACAGTTATCCGAATCGCTGTTCTAATCCTGGAACCGATTCCGAGCGATCCTTCTTTTCTTTGAGCAAAATATTGTTTCGACGCTTCGAATACTCCGGGAAAGAATCACGTGAAATCTACGCCGTTGGAACGATCTCGGCGGAAGGAAAGAATTCTGAACGAAAGATGCGAAATCCGTATCGAATATTTCCGAAGCAATCGCTCGACCGAGTTTCGCGAAGGATCGACGACGATCGAATCGCGTTTCCGCCTTGCCGAAAGCAGTTTCACGGGTCCGGGCTGTGCGACGGCTCGGCTCTCGCAGAATTTTCGCACGTCGCGCGGCGCGCGGGCTCTATTGAAGCGAGGAGGGCCGCAAAAGCGGAGGTTGCGGCAAGGCGAGCGTTACACGAGGAAGAGATTACGGGCTGTTCGGGTTCCGTGCTTTCTCTTCCACCGTCTCAATCCTCCGGCATTGTTCGGGGCCCGGCGCGGCGTCGTCCGCTTCGTCTTCTTCTTCTTCCTCTTCCTCTTCCTCCACGAGAGATCTTCCCACGCACGTGCCGCGACTCTCGTACGGGTCCGCGAGCCCTGCTGAATAATTACCAGATGAAGATACCGCCGCCTCGTGTAGGCTGAAATCTCGCCTCCTTCTTTCTCTCTCTCTCTCTCTTTCTCTCCGCTCCTTCATCCGACGAGGATTTTGCAACGGTACCCGTATGCCTATCCGATCACGATGACGACGATGACGACGACGACGACGACGACACGTCCCGTCCCTTCGAGGATCAGCAACCCACGGGGGATAGAATCCTGGAGAGCCGTAACTGCTGGCAGGGTCCCGACGGTAGAGCTTCCCATTCATTTTCGATAAAGGGATTCCCGGACTTTGGAGGGTGGATCCTGATTTAGGAGCGTCTCACCGACGAGGTTTAAGGGTTCAAGGTATCTCGCAACGCGTTACGGGATCGGCAGACTTATTTCCAATATGCTGAATCCGTGGACTCCGTTATCCGAAGAATGTCTGTCGATACGATCGTATCCAAACGATCCCAGGCCGGCACGATTAGCGACGGACGACGTAAACGGAGCTCGACTCCGCCGTATCGGCGCGCTATCGACGAAGCATTGTTCCGATTCGAGACACGGCACGCGAACCGTCGTGTCGTGAGACAGACACTCGTTAACGAGTAGGTTGCAGCCTATAAAGAACGGAGCAATTAATGGATCTGGGTCGTTCGCCGCGTTCAACGAAGGCCGAGCCGCGTTAACAGCGTGCCGGGGACAATTTAGATCGGGTTTCCCGCGAAAAGCGACAAGCACCGGCCATTGTGTCCCATGGAAAAGCAAGCGCGATCGTCTTCTCTCCGCTCGTGACGTATTCCCCGGACTTTCTCCGCCGGGGACCGCGATTCGTCTCCGTTGCGTAACGACTCGTTGCCGACGATCCCGTGGGACATCGCTCGAGGATTCCGGCTGTTCCGGATCGGTCCTGCCGACGATCTCTTTCGGCCGCGCGTCAAATTCGTCGCGAGAACTGCTGAAATAATTCTGTCCCAGCGAATTGGTACGTTTTGGTAGCTAAACGCTTTCTCCGGATGCCGATCGACGATTCCGATGCCCGATCGGAGGCTTCGGCAGCGAAATCCCTGGCGATTAAACGACGCCATCGGCGTCCGACCGGAGCCAAAGAAACCGGTGTGGCCTCTACGCGAAGGAACGACCGTTTTCAACGTTGATGCATAAAATAAAATTTTCATCGGCTCCGTTGATAATAGCGATAATATCAATGTTGTCAACTAATCGTGAGATGCAATGGCTAAAAGATGGGATAAGAACGAAAGAGAAATTGCGAGAGCCGCGGGCAGCTTCTTTTTCTAGAGCTTCGTTTCTAATTGACGGTAGCAGCGTGTTAATTGTCCGGCCGCGGAGGCGTCGAGGGGCCTCGGAGATTCCTCGGGTCGAACAGGTTCAGCCTCGGGTTCGGTGGAATTCTCTCGGTGCAACGAGTGCTTCTAGGAAAAATGGCGAAGCGCCATAGAAAGTGATACTTCTTTTTTGCGCGCAGCCGTAGAAAGTAGCCCCGTCGATGGTCGCTTTCGAAAACTCGGCTACCCGAACAAAAAGTTCTGTCGATTACACCGCCCGAAAAAGTAACGCGATCCGAAATTTCGATCAATTTCGAACGGGACAAATTCTACGTCGACGAAACGTCGACCGCTCGTAGATGTTGCGCGCGTTTTCAAAATCGCGTCGACGATGGACGGTCGAACAGCGACGCGAAGCATTTTCGACGCGTATAAAATGAATTCGCGCTTGTAATCGCGTGCGAGAGGAAACGTTCATTGAATTTCTCGTTTTCTTTGTTTCCAGAGATGGCAGAGGAGATGGTTCGTGCTGTACGACGACGGGGAGCTGACGTACTCGGTGGACGAGCACGTGAGTACCATGCGAAAAACCATTTAATGCAAATTTCCGTATTCGACCCGGTGACTGCACACGGCGAATCGAATCCTCTTAGTCCGTCTTTCCGCGGGAACGACGCGTACTCGCGCTCGAAATCCACTTTGCCGCTGACAAATCCGTTTAACGTCCCGATACGGTTTCATTCGGTGTGATCGCGGCAACGGCAACGGCAACGCCAACGGAAACGCCGCGCGTAATTCGAATTTTCTACCGTGGCCGTCCGACTCGGTCCGGTTTGCGCCCGCATCGTTGATCCGACTTTAAAATTAATTTCAAGAATTAATTTGTCGAGCACGATCCGACTCTCGCTGCCGATACCCGCGTACCGGCAACGAACGTTCGTCGCGGCGTTGGAAAACTTTCAGGTTTTCGCATCTGGAATACGAGATTTCGCTCGGGCACGCGTGTCCCATTGGCGCGCGATTCGTGGCGATCGAAACGGTGAAAATCGAGTCGGCGAAATACTCCGCGTGAAGCGGCACGATCGACTAAATTTATCCGGACGAAGGGTCCTCGCGAAGACCTCGAGGGTGCGTCCGGCGGAGGATGAAAGTCGCGGGGCGGTCGGTTGCGTTACCCCTCCATGTAGAATCGTGAACTGTCGAGCTTCCAACATTATGGCAGCTCATGAATCAAGAGCTGCCCCTCGAAGCGGCTCCCTCGGAGTCTAGGAGTGGCAAAGGTCGCAGCCAATTGTAGTTCTACTAGCCGCAACGGGCTCGGGCCTGGCTCGGACACGGCCATTGGCAGCGTAGTCGTAGTCGTAGTCGTAGTCGTAGTCGACAGTCAATACCATCAACATCGGCCGGCGACGGCAACATGGAGGCTGGCGAAACGACTCCGAGCTTCGCGCCTCCGGACCATCGCTTTCTCGGCCATCGCCGTCCGACGTCGATGGCCATGCTAATGCTAGAAACCGTCAGAATTGATTTAAGCGTTGGCCAGATGGCTGGATAAAGGCTTCCCGCCTCCGATGCTCCCTTCGCAAATGGACGGTTAACGACGTTAAGGAGAAAAGTCCCCGTTGACCTCTCGTGCCCGGTAATTTCTCCGGACGAAATCCAGCGAAACCCAGTCGAACCGTCGAACAACCTTAAACGAGCGACTCCTAAAATCGCCGATCCACGCGTATAGGACGATATTTATCGTACAAATCCGTAAAGATTCCATCCAACTCGTGGATCGTTTTTCGGTGATTTTCCGCAAGCAGACGCGATCGCGAGGAACGAAGTTATTCCGCGGACTAACTCGATAAGATTCCCTTTCGACGGTCCGGGAACAATGCGCCGCGCCGCTCCGAGCCCCGAGCCCCGAGGACACCGCTTTCGTCCGGACTCCGCCGACCCGTTAGCCCAATTTCTCATTCCACCTCAAGGCCGACCAGGTACGACTCCGGGTCCCAGAGGGAGAGACACGCACCCGCCTTACCACCGGTTATTATCTTTTCGCATTTTTCGCCCGAGATTATTCTCGAAACGAACGACCCTCTTAAGGCCCGCGACCGGATCATTAATCTGGCATCGAAGATGGCCGAGCTGAAACAGAGTAGGCAGCGGATATCTGCTGCTCCGGGGACGCGGTGCGAGGCCTTTGGCGCGCGGTATCGCCGTCGACCGATCGCTGCTAGTCGTTGCTATAATTCCGCTACGCGACGACCATCGATTCGACGCTTTGGGCCTAGCTCCATTTTCAAAGCGCCGACCGCGTCTACGCGTCTCGAGCCACTTTCCGAGGAAACTTGGACTCTTTTAGATTTCAACTCGGACCTGGTATCGATCGTTAGCTAGCCTCTTGCAAATTCAGAATTCGGAAACAACGTCCAGCCAACGAATACGCCTACGCGAATATAAACGGTCCCGATCTAATTTTCAGAATACGCAGGCAATCGGAACTTGCTTCGTTCTATCGGCTTTCCAATTTTACGGTCGAATCGAAGATGCTACGCGCGTGCAGCGACGCGCGATATCGTAGAAAGTCGCGTCGAAGATATTCAGCGATCGGAAAGAAAAAGCCGCCTCGAAACTCCTATAAAACACCTGTCGCTATTCCGATTAATGTCTCCGAGCCCGTGGACCCGTTCCGCGGCGTGTTCCGCGCGTTATGCAGATCCGAGCGAGCGTGTGTAGTTATCGGCGTCGAAATAAATGGATCTCGGTACCTCCCACGTGTCGAGGCACACCCAACGTAGCGTTCAGTAATTAAAATCGATACGCGTTCGAGCGGAGTCGATTGGAAGGGGCTCCTCGGGAAGGTGTAAAGCAATTTTTCAAAGGTATAGGATCGAAAGGTGTTTCGTTCGGCGTCGCTATCGGCCGAGTTAGCGGCCGCGCGTGGCCGCGGCTGCGGCTGCGGCCGACACCGTGCGGCAAACAGGGCAAAACGATCCCGAAGCATCCCGTCGCGAGGCATTTATCAGCGTTCTTTAAACGGGACAAACCTAATCGGTCGGCCGACCGGTCGCGCGAGGCCCAATAATCTCTGGTTAATTGGAAATGGCATTTCTCAGGGGCCGGGCTCGAACGGACGCGGCGTGGCGCGGCGAGGCGCGGCGCGCACCACCGATACCGGCGAAATGGTCACCGGTGGCCAATTATGCAAATCCGCTGCACGGGGAAAGCTGGAACTGCCGCGGAATTAATCGTCTGAATTGGAACGATTAGCTCGCCGCCCGGAATACGTTCCTTCGATTATCGGGGATTTCTCGTCGCCGCCGCAACCGCGTCCTCGGAAAATTGCTCCGGTCGCCATTAATTGCGACCACCGATCGATCTCCAGCGAAACCGTCCTACCGATTTGCCGTCGAGACGACACCGACGCGATCGCGCGCTCGCAGCTCGTATTACGCCGACCGACGCGTATTCGAGCTTGTTGTTCCAATCGCGAATCTTCGCGCGCCGAACACGAATTCTCCACGGATTCTCTGCACCATTGCCCGCGTCGACGTTGTTCGAATATGGCAATATGTCCTGTGGCAATTTTGGAATACCGGATCCTAAGCTAATCGCGAGAAACGGCGATCGGGTGGAAGAATATCTTAGAAATACTAGGTGCTTCGCGGACCGTCGAGGTCTGGGGGAAACGCGTTGTCGTCTAATAAACAGGAACCAATTACGCAGCGCGCCAATTATAACGCGCGTCAGCCGCGCGCCTGCCGATAAAAGATTCCTCCGGAGCCTGTCGACGCGACGCGACCCGACGCGACGAATGATCGAACGAGAGCTTCCATCGAGCTCATCATTTTCCCGGGCGTCATTAACGTCTCCGGCGTTGGCCGAGAGGTATCCGCGACGCTCCGACTAATAGGAACCGTGTCGTCGGCTCGATAACGTAGCAGGACGTTGATGATATTGATGACGGCGCGAGATAAGATCAACGAGGATGCGAACGACCCCCTTTCCGAGCCCCGTCGCACCCCGCGCTCCGAAGCGTATTCCCGGGCTCCGTGCTTCGGGTATCGGGCATCGGGCTCCGGGCACCGCGAGTCGATCGGCTGACCCCAATTAAACGATAGCCATCGGCTAGCCCAGGCGAGACAACGGTTGCGTCACCGATAAATGTTAATGAACCGTGGCATAATAGCGTCGTCTATAATAACCGGGGGATTCCGTCCGCCGGCCGTTAAGGGTGCCTTTGTTCCACCTACGACTCCTCGGTGATTCGGCCGCGTTAATATCGTAACGGTCTCCGTTACCAATTAGAGTGCGGCTTAATTGCGAGCCACCGCGACGCGCCTCCTGGTTTCACCGTAACCCGTTGAACTCCCATCGATACCGTCCAATTACCTTATACAATAGACTCTCGAAGCTGGCGTAGCAGTCGAGGAAATTCCTGCCGCCGATCGAGATCGGTGGAACGAGCGGTATTCGAAGGACGCTATTCGTCCGTGTAAAGACCGCGTTCGAAGAAGACAACTTATTGTAAAATAAGCTTCGCGGACGTCCGAGTACGAAGTTGTTGGAAAACGATGGAGTCCGGCACCCGTTGGACCAATCCCTGTTCCAGATTCATCGTAGCCACTCGAACGGTAGAACAAGCTTCGGAGCTGCTCGGTATATTAATGTACCACCGTGACGAGGGTAGATCTAATCGATCGGCCGCTCGGGTATCAACTTCCCGCAGGATTAATCTACGCGGTGAGTCTTCCGCGGCGGTGTTCAGTCATCATCCAGAAGTTCCAATTAGCGTGGATCGGAGCGACGTCTCCGGCTCCGTGTTGTTGCACGGTGCGGACGACGCGACGCGGTGTATTCGCGAACAACTAGACACACCGAGAATCATCTGGGAGGGTTCGTCGCAGTGGTCTCTCAGTCGTCATCGAGAAGTTCCAATCAGCGGGTATCGGCACGATCTGTTTGCTCGTTCTCGTCGTTCGGTCCCTCTCTCTCTTTCTCTCTCTCTCTCTCTCTCGGTCCGATTATCCTCTTTTATTCCCGTTGGCTGCGTCGATGGCTAACCATCGGGGGCCCCTTCTCATCGTCCGATATTAATACCGATACGGGATTTGCATTCAGGCCTCGGTCTCGGCGGCATCGGCAGGAGCAGCATCAACGGCGCGCGCACGCGCATCGGCGTGTACGCTTAATCCGCCGACTGTTCGGTTACGCTCGCGTCCGGTGTCAACTCGCTGCGCGGAGAGAAGCGGGGCCGAGACGACGACCGCGGGCACCAGGAAGCTGCGTGGGGCAGGGGAGGGCACCGAGGGGGCCACGGTTTATCCGACGAGGAAGTCGGCCAACCCGAGACCCGAGAGAGATCCGAGACCCGACAGACCTTGGGGATACCGCGGGGTGGCGGTGGCTGGCAGATTCTTCTCGCTGAAACGCTCGATGAATTATTGAGTGGATGAGATCGGGCATTTTTCATGGGGGCGGAGTCTGCTTCGGGGGCGGGATCCTTCGGAGGCTTGGCCTTGGGGGATAAATTCGCTTCGCAGGGCTCGGGCCTCGCGCGCAGAGACGCTGCCGATGGAGGGT